AACTTTTCCTATAGAAAAAGTACTCCGATTCGGACAACTTTTCCTATAGAAAAAGTACTCCGATTCGGACAACTTTTCCTATAGAAATAGTACTCCGATTCTGACTACTCTTCATATAGATTATGTACTCCGATTCTGACAACTTTTCCTACATAAAATGTACTCCGATTCCGACAACTTTTCCTATAGGAAAAAATAATCCGATTCCGACAACTTTTCCTATAGGAAAAAATAATCCGATTCGGACGACGTTTCCTATAGAAAAAGTACTCCGATTCGGATAACTTTTCCTATAAAAAAGTACTCTGATTCGGACAACTTTTCCTATAGAAAAAGTACTCCAAATCGGACAACTTTTCCTATAGAAAAAGTACTCCAAATCGGACAACTTTTCCTATAGAAAAAGTACTCCAAATCGGACAACTTTTCCTATAGAAAAAGTACTCCAACTCGGACAACTTTTCCTATAGAAAAAGTACTCCAAATCGGACAACTTTTCCTATAGAAAAAGTACTCCAATTCGGACAACTTTTACTATAGAAAAAGTACTCCAATTCGGACAACTTTTCCTATAAAAAAAGTACTCCAATTCGGACAACTTTTCCTATAAAAAAAGTATTCCGATTCGGACAACTTTTCCTATAGAAAAAGTATTCCGATTCGGACAACTTTTCCTATAGAAAAAGTACTCCGATTCGGACAACTTTTCCTATAGAAAAAGTACTCCGATTCGGACAACTTTTCCTGTAGAAAAAGTACTCCGATTCGGACAACTTTTCCTATAGAAAAAGTACTCCGATTCGGACAACTTTTCCTATAGAAAAAGTACTCCGATTCCGACAACTTTTCCTATAGAAAAAGTACTACGATTCGGACTTTTCCTATAGAAAAAGTACTTCGATTCGAAAAACTTTTCTTATAGAAAAAGTACTTCGGTTCGAACAACTTTCCCTATCGAAAAAGTACTTCGGTTCGAACAACTTTCCCTATCGAAAAAGTACTCCGATTCGGACAACTTTTCCTATAGAAAAAGTACTCCGATTCGGACAACTTTTCCTATAGAAAAAGTACTCCGATTCGGACAACTTTTCCTATAGAAAAAGTACTCCGATTCGGACAACTTTTCCTATAGAAAAAGTACTCCGATTCGGACAACTTTTCCTATAGAAAAAGTACTCCGATTCGGACAACTTTTCCTATAGAAAAAGTACTCCGATTCGGACAACTTTTCCTATAGAAAAAGTACTCCGATTCGGACAACTTTTCCTATAGAAAAAATACTCCGATTCGGACAACTTTTCGTATAGAAAAAATACTCCGATTCGGACAACTTTTCTTATACAAAAAATACTCCGATTCAGACTACTTTTCCTATAGAAAAAGTACTCCGTTTCGGACAGCTTTTTCTAAAGAAAAAGTACTCCGATTCGGACAACTTTTCCTATAGAAAAAGTACTCCGATTCTGACTACAGTTTTCCTTTAGAAAAAGTTCTCAGATTGTACATTTTTCCTTTAGAAATAGTGGAAAAAGTACTTAAACTTTTTTTTTCTAAAAACACAGTTTAAGTCCACTAATTGAAATTCGAGAAAAAATGCTTGAAATAATTACATTCCCAAGAAACACCACTCCAAATTCCCCCTATAAATATTTCATATGTGTAATAGGAAATGTATTGTTTAATTTTTTTTTTTTCATAAATTGATAATACTTCTCTCAATACACGTAAAATAATTAAATCCAAATGTGTATAAACAATTTACGTCGTCAATACGTAAAATATATATAATATAAATTCAATAATATAAGATGACCAGCCCATTTGAGTTGTGTTCCAAAGAACAAATTGCTTATAATAACTCTCGTATCAATGTGCACTGGCAATATTAGAGGAATTTTCAGTCTTAATGACTTCCTATTGAATTTATAAAATTAAAAAAAAAATTGTAACTTGACAACAGTTTGTTTTTATTTTTGTTTAATAAAGCAAGTAAATTAGAGTTAAATTTGATGGATTAGTTTAAGATGAATTGCACTATTAGATTGATATTGTAGACTATTGAATTATGATGTAACTGAAATTTGTAACGGCCTTTAAGTAATTAGAGTGATGTAGTTTAGTTTATAGTATTATTAAAGATTTTAAAAATAGAAATCAGTAATCATACTCTTGATTACTTTGTTTACAAATAAAGGTACTTTGATAATTTTATAAAAATATTTTTAGATTTTGACAGCATTTAGTTATAAAATGGACACAATGTGTGACTACATTTTTGCTATAAATAGTACTGAGATTCTGATTATTTTTCCTATAGAAAAAGTACTCACATTCTAATAACTTTACCTTTTGAAAATAGAACTCAGATGTGATAAACTTCTTTTCTAGAAGTACTAGAATTTTGAATAATTTGCCTTTAGAGAAAGTACTTCCATTTTGACAAATTTTCTTATAAAAAAGTACTTAATAGTACTTTATTTAAAAAAAAGTACTTTAAAGCTTACACATAGGCCTTTTTTGAATTCTCAAATTTACTTATATAAACCTTTTTGTTTTTTTATTTAAGATTTCTGATAAATTCATTAACAAATTGTTTTATTACTTATTTCAACATTTTATAGCGAATTTTATATGTCACACGTTTTTGTTTTGACAAGGCCCTGAATAACTGAAATAAAATCATGTAATTTGCTGTCGTTCTACAAAAAAACGTGTGACATTAAAATGTGCCTATTAAAAAAAAATCTAGTTATAAAACAAACATTTTAATGTATAGTTTATCGATCGATAGAATAATTTAAAATCTTTGGAATAAACTTAATGATGAGTAATCATAGAATAGAAAAAAAGTACGAAAGTTATAATAAAATTCAAGCTTCTGAAAAAGGTACTCGGATTCTAAATACTTTTTATGCTACAAAAATACAAAATTTTGAATAACTTGCCTTTGGAAAAAGTGTTAAAATTCTGACTACTTTTCCTATAGAAAAAGCACTCAGATACTGACTACTTTTCAAAAAGAAAAAGTACCCACATTCCGACTACTTTTCCTACAGAAAAAGCACTCACATTCTGACTACTTTCAATATAGAAAAAGTTTTCCGATTCTGACTACTTTTTCTATAGAAAAAGCACTCCGATTCTGACTACTTTTCCTATAGAAAAAGTACTTTGATTCTGACTACTTTTCCTATAGAAAAGTACTCCGATTCTGACTACTTTTCCTATAGAAAAGTACTCCGATTCTGACTACTTTTCCTATAGAAAAAGTACTCCGATTCGGACAACTTTTCCTATAGAAAAAGTACTCCGATTCGGACAACTTTTCCTATAGAAAAAGTACTCCGATTCGGACAACTTTTCCTATAGAAAAAGTACTCCGATTCGGACAACTTTTCCTATAGAAAAAGTACTCCGATTCGGACAACTTTTCCTATAGAAAAAGTACTCCGATTCGGACAACTTTTCCTATAGAAAAAGTACTCCGATTCGGACAACTTTTCCTATAGAAAAAGTACTCCGATTCGGACAACTTTTCCTATAGAAAAAGTACTCCGATTCGGACAACTTTTCCTATAGAAAAAGTACTCCGATTCGGACAACTTTTCCTATAGAAAAAGTACTCCGATTCGGACAACTTTTCCTATAGAAAAAGTACTCCGATTCGGACAACTTTTCCTATAGAAAAAGTACTCCGATTCGGACAACTTTTCCTATAGAAAAAGTACTCCGATTCGGACAACTTTTCCTATAGAAAAAGTACTCCGATTCGGAAAACTTTTCCTATAGAAAAAGTACTCCGATTCGGACAACTTTTCCTATAGAAAAAGTACTCCGATTCGGACAACTTTTCCTATAGAAAAAGTACTCCGATTCGGACAACTTTTCCTATAGAAAAAGTACTCCGATTCGGACAACTTTTCCTATAGAAAAAGTACTCCGATTCGGACAACTTTTCCTATAGAAAAAGTACTCCGATTCGGACAACTTTTCCTATAGAAAAAGTACTCCGATTCGGACAACTTTTCCTATAGAAAAAGTACTCCGATTCGGACAACTTTTCCTATAGAAAAAGTACTCCGATTCGGAAAACTTTTCCTATAGAAAAAGTACTCCGATTCGGACAACTTTTCCTATAGAAAAAGTACTCCGATTCGGACAACTTTTCCTATAGAAAAAGTACTCCGATTCGGACAACTTTTCCTATAGAAAAAGTACTCCGATTCGGACAACTTTTCCTATAGAAAAAGTACTCCGATTCGGACAACTTTTCCTATAGAAAAAGTACTCCGATTCGGACAACTTTTCCTATAAAAAAAGTACTCCGATTCGGACAACTTTTCCTATAGAAAAAGCACTCAGATTCTAACTACTTTTCCTATAGAAAAAGAACTTCGATTCTGACTACTTTCCTTATAGAAAAAGTACTCCGATTCTGACTACTTTTCCTATAGAAAAAGTACTCCTATTCGGATTACTTTTCCTATAGAAAACGTACTCCGATTTTGACTACTTTTCCTATAGAAAACGTACTCCGATTCTGACTACTTTTACTATAGAAAAAGTACTTCGATTCTGACTACTTATCCTATAGAAAAAGTACTCCGGTTCTGACTACTTTTCCTGTAGAAAAAGCGCCCAGATTCTGACTACTTTTAATACAGAAAAAGTACTACAATTCTGACTACTTTTCCTTTTCAGTTTCTAACTACTTTTCCTATAGAAAAAGAACTTCGATTCTAACTACTTTCCTTATAGAAAAAGTACTCCGATTCTGACTACTTTTCCTATAGAAAAAGTACTCCTATTCGGACTACTTTTCCTATAGAAAACGTACACCGATTTTGACTACTTTCACTATAGAAAAAGTACTTCGATTTTTCTACAGAAAAAGCACTCAGATTATGACTTCATTTCCTATAGAAAAAGTTTCTTATTAAATTCTTAATAAAATTTTAAAAAATAAATATTAATATGAAAATTTTTTATTCAAAATTTACCTATTTCTTTACAGTATTGGTTTGTGTAACCAAATTTTGAAAATGTTGTTAAATGTTCTATAAAAACAACAATAACAGCTGATCTCGTTCGTTTATAATTTGTTTGAATTTCGTAAAATAATTTTATTTTTGTTTAAATAAAAAGTTCGTTAATCGTTACACTTTTCTTAAATGTTAAACCGAGAACCCTGCCCTTTCTTAAGGAGCTGTAGCAACGCGCGCACGTTTAGTCGGTTTATTTTGGGTTAATTCGCCTGTCGTTTTAAATCGCTTTTGAAATTAAACAACAACAATAAACACGAGGTAAAATAAAAATTATTGTTGTGTTGCGCAAGTTTTTTTTTTGTTTTAAAATTTATTATTATTGTTATAGTTGTTAAGATTTTTTTGTTTAAATTTTTATCAATTTATAAACACTTTCCTCTCGCGAGTGCATTTTGACAATAACAACAAAACATAAGACAATAAAAATTAATCAAAAATGTGCTGCTGCTCTTTTTTGTGATTTAAAAACAAAAACTGAAAGCAAAACAAAACTGAAAAATCGAAAATTTAGACAAAAAAAAACTCGTTAAGACCCGTCGTCATATAGTATGCAAACCACACGACAATAACGCGGCATTTACTTTTAATCTTTATTTTATTTTTTGTGTTTTTATTATTATTTTAAACTGTTGTTGTATTTTGTTATTGCAAAAAAAAAGAAACGTTAAACAAGAGTATTTTAACAGATATTTTGTGTTGGTGGAAGTGGGAGGGAGTTGGTGGGGTTTTCAATGGGGGGGGGGACTGTTGAAAAAACGTGATGGTGGCGTTAGGGCACAGCAACAGTTTGTTGTTGTAGTTGTTGCTGTAACTATTAAAAATTACGTTGTGAGCGACGACGTCAACGTAGTAAATAAATTCTTGTTTAACGACAACAACAACAATTTTTTTTAGCGATTTTCGTTTTCTTTTTTTTCGACTTTTTTTCTCGATCACACGACTAGCGGCGTTTATTTCGGCGGCGTTGGTCAACATACACGGTCTTGGATAAACTAAAGTTTATTTTGCTTCCCAAAAAGCTGCGTAGCCCCATAATGGGTGGTGAGCTCTGGGGGAATACTACATCCATGACAAACACTCAAACACATACACACACTATCATACAGCAGCAAAAAGCAGGAGAGCGTGATTTTAGCTGGTCTTTACAACAATAGAATAGATAACAAAATAAACAGCAGAGAGCAAAGTTAGCAAAAACAAAGAAAAAAAAATAGCAGCAACAGCTGTTAAGTTTTTTTTTTTTTTTTGCTGCCGCAGCAGTAGTTGTAGTAGTTCATTTATTATCTATCTACTGATACCTTTGGCCAGCCATTCAGTTAGTCGGCCAGCAGCTGGCTACCTATCGTACTACTTAGTTTGTTTGTTAGTCAGTGAAGCAAGTAGCTAGCAGAAGCAGCATTATCAGCAGCAACAACTAAAGTCATTTAGCCATCCATCCATCCAGCTAACAGCCAACAACTAAACTAATACTCATTGTTGTGTCCCCAGCAACATACAGTGGGGCTGTTTTTTTAAATTGCTGCTCAAAAATTTTTAATTTTGAAACCAGAAATGCATTAGAAGAGAAATTTAAAACACTTCTATAGTCGAATTTTTTGACTGACTATAATCAAGTCTATAATTTGGACCACAGTCTAGACTATAATCTAAACTACAGTCTAGTCTATAGTATGGACTACAGTATATAGTATGCACTACAGTCTAGTCTATAGTCTAGACTATAGTCTAGTCTGTCTTCTGGACTATAGTCTAGTCTATATTCTCTACTATAGTCTAGTCTATAGTCTGGACTATAGTCTAGTCTATAGTCTGGACTATAGTCTAGTCTATACTCTGGACTAGAGTAAAGTAGTGGACTACAGTCTAGTCTATAGTGTGGACTATAGTCTAGTCCATAGTCTGGACTATAGTCTAGTCTATAGTAAGGACTATAGTCTAGTCTATAGTAAGGACTATAGTCTAGTCTATAGTAAGGACTATAGTCTAGTCTATAGTAAGGACTATAGTCTAGTCTATAGTAAGGACTATAGTCTAATCTATAGTAAGGACTATAGTCTAGCCTATAGTCTGGACCACAGTCTACTCTATAGTCTGGACTAGAGTCTAGTCTATAGTCTGGACTAGAGTCTAGTCTATAGTCTGGCATAGGGTCTAGTCTATAGTCTGGCCTAGAGTCTAGTCTACAGTCTGGACTAGAGTCTAGTCTATAGTCTGGACTAGAGTCTAGTCTATAGTCTGGACTAGAGTCTAGTCTATAGTAAGGACTATAGTCTAGTCTATAGTAAGGACTATAGTCTAGTCTATAGTCTGGACTATAGTCTAGTCTATAGTAAGGACTATAGTCTAGTCTATAGTAAGGACTATAGTCTAGTCTATAGTAAGGACTATAGTCTAGTCTATAGTAAGGACTATAGTCTATAGTCTGGACCACAGTCTACTCTATAGTCTGGACTAGAGTCTAGTCTATAGTCTGGCCTAGAGTCTAGTCTATAGTCTGGCCTAGAGTCTAGTCTATAGTCTGGACTATAGTCTAGTCAATAGTAAGGACTATAGTCTAGTCAATAGTAAGGACTATAGTCTAGTCCAGCGGTTCCCACCGATTTTTACTTCGCGGACCCCTTGAAGAACTTATTTAATTTCGCGGACCCCCATACATATTTTGATATCTTATTGTTCTAAATAATTGTCCATCCGAAAATTGACCTAGTTCATTAATCCCTAGGTCTAATAAATGTAGAGATGTCATATTTCAGATAGGTTTTCAATTGCATGTTTTGAAGATAGAATGACTTCTTTGTTGATATGTTAACATGATGTTTAATTTTATAATCGTGAGATCTTTCATGTTCATTTTTCTTTAAGGTAGCGAAAAGGTTTCTTTATCAAATATTGTCACATGTGCTTAAGGAGTCACGTTTCAAAAATTTGTTGCGATTGCAAAGGGTGAACTGAGTAAGTGAGCTAAGTTTTCGCGAAAATAATATAAGAAAGTTGGACTTCTTCTATGTTGTTGCGGAATGCGTTATCCGCATAATATATGATTTGAACTCTTTGTTAAAGTACTGTGAATTTGGAACTTAAATTTTAATTTTAAAATACCAACGAATTATTTTACTTCATGGTTTTTGGCTAAATATTTACGCGAAACGCTATGGATTTTCTGATGTTAATTTAATAATATGTATTGGTCGACAAAATCAAGTTAAAATCTGTGTATCACGTCGGATTGGAATATTTATAAAGAGATGCATAAAGAGTCACCTCTGTTTTGGAAATATATAATTTTAGTCCTTTCAAACGAGAACACTTTTGCTTACAATTTGATTTAAATCTGTAATAAGCTTGTCTTTGAATTGAACTTCATACTCCGGAATACCAGTATCCTTAATTTAATTGTAAGGCAGAGTATTATTTGTCTGAAATAAAAACCATTATTTCAGTACATATACAGGAAATAAAAATTACAAATCACGCAATACTTTACTTTATAAAAGTTATACAATAAATTTGTAGGGCCTAGCTTCTTCCTGATAAACAACCGAAAAAATAAAATTCAAAAAGTCAACAAAAAATTTGGGATTATTGCACAAAAATAGGAGATATTTGTACATACATATAAAAGCAAAATATTGTTTATTCATGGTTTTTTTTGTTCGTCTTCGCGGACCCCCTAGGATTTTACAACGGACCACTAGGGGTCCGCGGACCCCCATTTGGGAACCGTTGGTCTAGTCAATAGTAAGGACTATAGTCTATAGTAAGGACTATAGTCTAGTCTATAATAAGGACTATAGTCTATAGTAAGGACTATAGTCTAGTCTATAGTAAGGACTATAGTCTAGTCTATAGTAAGGACTATAGTCTAATCTATAGTAAGGACTATAGTCTATAGTAAGGACTATAGTCTAGCCTATAGTCTGGACCACAGTCTACTCTATAGTCTGGACTAGAGTCTAGTCTATAGTCTGGACTAGAGTCTAGTCTATAGTCTGGCATAGGGTCTAGTCTATAGTCTGGCCTAGAGTCTAGTCTACAGTCTGGACTAGAGTCTAGTCTATAGTCTGGACTAGAGTCTAGTCTATAGTCTGGACTAGAGTCTAGTCTATATTCTGGACTAGAGTCTAGTCTATACTCTGGGCTAGAGTCTAGTTCTGGTCTATAGTCTAGTCTATAGTGTGGACTATTGTCTAGTCCATAGTCTGGACTATAGTCTAGTCTATAGTAAGGACTATAGTCTAGTCTATAGTAAGGACTATAGTCTAATCTATAGTAAGGACTATAGTCTAGTCTATAGTAAGGACTATAGTCTAGTCTGTAGTAAGGACTATAGTCTAGTCTATAGTAAGGACTATAGTCTAGTCTATAGTAAGGACTATAGTCTAGTCTATAGTAAGGACTATAGTCTAGTCTATAGTAAGGACTATAGTCTAGTCTATAGTAAGGACTATAGTCTAGTCTATAGTAAGGACTATAGTCTAGTCTATAGTAAGGACTATAGTCTAGTCTATAGTAAGGACTATAGTCTAGTCTATAGTAAGGACTATAGTCTAGTCTATAGTAAGGACTATAGTCTAGTCTATAGTAAGGACTATAGTCTAGTCTATAGTAAGGACTATAGTCTAGTCTATAGTAAGGACTATAGTCTAGTCTATAGTAAGGACTATAGTCTAGTCTATAGTAAGGACTATAGTCTAGTCTATAGTAAGGACTATAGTCTAGTCTATAGTAAGGACTATAGTCTAGTCTATAGTAAGGACTATAGTCTATAGTCTGGACCATAGTCTACTCTATAGTCTGGACTAGAGTCTAGTCTATAGTCTGGCCTAGAGTCTAGTCTATAGTCTGGCCTAGAGTCTAGTCTATAGTCTGGACTATAGTCTAGTCAATAGTAAGGACTATAGTCTAGTCAATAGTAAGGACTATAGTCTAGTCAATAGTAAGGACTATAGTCTAGTCAATAGTAAGGACTATAGTCTAGTCAATAGTAAGGACTATAGTCTAGTCTATAATAAGGACTATAGTCTATAGTAAGGACTATAGTCTAGTCTATAGTAAGGACTATAGTCTAGTCTATAGTAAGGACTATAGTCTAGTCTATAGTCTGGACTATAGTCTAGTCTATAGTCTGGACTATAGTCTAGTCTATAGTCTGGACTATAGTCTAGTCTATAGTCTGGACTATAGTCTAGTCTATAGTCTCGACTACAGTCTAGTCTATAGTCTGGACTAGAGTCTAGTCTATAGTCTGGACTAGAGTCTAGTCTATAGTCTGGACTAGAGTCTAGTCCATAGTCTGGACTAGAGTCTAGTCTATACTCTGGACTAGAGTAAAGTTCTGGTCTATAGTCTAGTCTACAGTCTAGTCTATAGTCTAGTCTATAGTCTGGACTATAGTCCAATCTATAGTCTGGACTATAGTCTAGTCTATAGTCTGGACTATAGTCTAGTTTATAGTCTGGACTATAGTCAAGTCTATAGTCAAGTCTATAGTCTGGACTATAGTCTGTACTGTAGTCTAGTCTATAGTCTGGTCTATAGTATCTGCTATGGCCTAGTCTATAATCTGGTCTATAGTGTGGACTATAATTTTAAGCTACATTCTTCTACATGAAGGTCGAGATGTTTTATTAATTCTCCTCTAATTTAACTTTCGACCCCACTGTCCCCTTATAGAATGTAGTTGTTGCTAATAGTGTCTTGCTTGACTCTTTCTATATTGTGAATCATGTTCAAAGTCAACAGTAGCTGTTAAAATAACAAAAAAAAAAAAAAAAATAAAAACTTTTTTATTTATACATATTTGCACATAAAACAACAACAAGATCAACATATTGCTGCCACTATTTAGTTTATTAACATTTTGGATTTATCATTTCTTACGTTGTACATTCATCCACTTTGTTCGTTTTTTTTCTGTTTATTGTTAAAAACGTATGACCAGGAGCTGTTTAGTGGTATTTGATTAAGCTTTATAAAAAAAA